GGAAAGAGCGCTTGCCAGCCGCCTGAGAAAGCTGCTCTCATTTACAGGCACTGCTGGTGAATGTTATTATCATAATTTAGTATGTTTAAAGCTTCTAGATGGATACTGACTGAGGTGAGCAGCCCCGCATTTCAGGCACTATTCACATGAGACTGTTCTGCCACCCTCCGGAGCTTACCCTGTGCGTAAAGTTGATCAGATTGGAGTCTGAGGTGGACAATGAAGGAAGGGCACGTCCCAGGTTGGACAACAAAGCTAGTGAGCAACAGGAGACCTGCAGCGCAGCTGATGTTTGGTGAAAGGACACAGCCAACCTTGTCATACCCACTCATCTCAGAGCCTGAGAAGAAACTCATAATACTCATAGGGGTAATATATCCTCCACCGGTCTTTTCCTGGCTCTTAGAATCTAGCTTAAATTGACAAGCCTTAATTTAATTTTAAATACTCCAGTTATTCAGGAAAATGATCTGTCCCTTTTTTTAAAATTTGTTAAACAGTCATAACAGTCTTCTATGACAATGAGCTCCACAGTTCCTTTCTCCTTGATTAATTATTGCCTTCGCTCTGTGGAGTGAAATAGTAAGCAAGGCTGTGCTCCAGAAGCAGCAATAACTGCCCTCATGGGCAGCACAGAAAAGGAATTCACATCACTTTGGAAATGGCAGGAGGTAGAATTTGAAACACATGGAGTGTTAGTGAACTGACTTTTTCTAGAGTCACAGTGATTGGCAAGAATGCATTCCCTTACAATTCAGAAGCTAAGGAATTTGGGGTTATACTTATCTCAACAGGGAGACACCACAGTTTGGAGAGTGTGGCAGTAACATCAAGAATATGAGAGCAGAGACAGCAGAGAGCTACCTTCTCAGAGGGCAAAGAGTTATACGATGGGAGAAATGGGAGGTGAGGGGACTGGGTGCTGAACTGCTGGTTCAGACACAATTACAGCATCGCTAAGAAGACATTGTGAGTTACAGAGGCACTTAAAGCCCCCTAGCCTAAAGGATCAGATGACAGAAGGTTTGATACTCCTCTTCATGTCAGGTAACATTGTTTATGCCACTTCCACTTGTTTTACAGCCCCTGATGTGGACTGAACGGTGCAAGTGTAACTCAACTTCTAAGAACAGCTGGACGTCACCATCCCAAAGAGCCTGAAGGCTGGCACATCACAAGACACCACAGACTGAGGCTACAGACTTCCATTAAAGAGCATTTCCCTGTACTTGCTTCATGCCCTGATCCTATTTGGATAAAAAGTGTTGGTCAAGGCCTTGGCTCTTC